CCTAAACCCTAAACCCTAACAGCTCTTTGCACCCAAAGGGCTCGAGGAGTTCAGGTGGTGCGGCCCGGGGGATCGCAGCCGGTCCTTTCTTCGCTTCGCTTTTTCGGCTTCGGGCTCGGGCTCGGAGGGCCAAAATTCGGAATGTGTCAGTTACCTATAGTTCCTTTTTTTGGGTTTAACCATTTCTATATTAAGGATCCTATAAGGTAACCCCAAAAAGGAACTACAATGGAGACTATAGGTATATTCTACATACGGGGTGGACTGGTTTAGGCTCTCCCGAATTTAGGGCAGATTGCGGTATACCATGAACGCTCACCGCCAGTTTAGGTCGGGGTTTGAGGGTTTGGAGGGATGACAGCAGATTGGGCGTCCCTCAACTCAATCCTTAAAAGCACGCAAGGCAACAGCTGTGTGCTCTGCTGGCCACCAGCAACCCTATATTCACTGGTTCAACAGTAGCTCGCTGAGGCTCGGCGTGTTGGGTGGTCAACCCAACTGACCCCAAACCTCCGGACTTCGAGAAGCAGCACACCACACTCGAGGAAACAATGTCTCAACCTCGGTCGTTCTGTAGCCTGATGAAGGCGGGGCTCGAACCCCGCCGCTTATCGGCATGTGATTCAAGGATAAGTAAGCAACTAGGTATAGGTAGGTGGGCGGGTAGCTCAGCAAAAGGGCAGGCAGGTAGGTAGGTAGATAGGTAAGGATGAGGTCGAGCTTAAGGGTTTGGGTGTTGGGGACCCTCAGATGGGCATGGCTTAAACTGGGCAGTGTTCGGAGTTTGGTACCTCAGTGCCTTCATTGACTTCGCGTAGTGCAGGTGCTGGTGGGTTTAGTTCAAAGTGCCAACTGTTGCGGATGACGCCAAACTTTGGTGATTCTGGACTTGGAGGATGACGGGTTGAGGGGTTACAGCGGCAAACAAGCATGCAAACGCAAATGCACGTGTATCGTGCATCGACATATGCCAGACATACACACGCCCCCTTGCAAAGCGGCGCAATGCTTTTCGAATTGCTGGGTCCCAACAGGCATATGATCGCTGGAAGCCCAATTCGCTAGATAATGGGTCACCATGCTGGAGCTGTATTATGGGACGGTAGTTCACCTACTAAATATATAATAATCACTGTATAAGTAGGTACATGTAGGTACAGTTGCTGCGCTACTACGAGCGCATCAGAGGACGACCCTGCAACTCACTACTCATACAGCTCATCTGGCAGTTCACCGCACCAGCCGTTTGTCAGAAACATTGCCAGTATTGCTAAAACCAGGAGAGCAATGTTCGTTGCGAAGCAAGGCATGTTACCTTCAACGATGCAGCGGCCGAAAACACCGCAATGGTGGTCGAACTCCACAAAACATCGTTGGCAGATTCTGCAGTGGTGACTCAAATGAGAGTCCACATCTCGCGGGCGCCACACAAGGCAGCGAACGCAATAGCTCCCAAGCATAGGGTGGTGTTCCGGCCCAGAGATGTTCCGGTTTTGTGATGGCCTTTGCCCAGCCAGGAGGCCCTTCGCTACCTGGGCAGGAATCGGATAACAGGTCGTTTTGGAGCGGCAAATCTCACCTTGTCTCCCGAAGATGATGAAGGAGGTGCAGAAGAGGGCCAAGATGGCGAAGCAGGTCATGACGGAGTCTACCGCAGTACACCACGCGGGATTCGACCAATGCGCCGGGTCGCCACGCACGTTGCGTGCTGACACGACAAAAGTGATGCAGAAACCCAAGACGACGCATGCGCCAGCAAAAGCCTGCGTCCAGAACTTCGGATTGCGATCTGGCAGCGGCGGCAGCCTGGAGAGAGGCAAGAGTGCCTCCCAGGCATCAAGGTCCTCGACACCCGGAAGCCTGGGATCTTCTGACAAAACCATGGTTTTTTAAGGATATCGTCGTGAGGACGCCAGAACTACCCACTATTTGTCATTTATCCCGGTTCTGGTAAGTTTTAGTTTGAATTCCCCAACTCTAAAACGCTATAGAAACCTGAAATCCCTGAAAGGGAATTCCTGAACAAGAGCCTGGGAGCACGTCGGAGAAGCCGAAAATGTCGAGATCGGATTCGCCTTCGAGATCGGAGTCATCCGAAAACCTGAGAAGATTTGGTGTCCTTGCTTTGTGGATCCTTGCACCAAGCTAGGGATTTCATGATTTAAGGCTCGTTGACTAAGGATCCAACTTAGAGTCTCCATTTTAGCCCCTTTTGGGGTTTAGGGTTTATGGTCGTACGACCTCTAAATATGAAATCTTTTCAACCACGCAAAGGAACCACAATGGAGACTGCTGGTACGTACCCAGACAGCCCTATATACCGCCGAAGCGTTCAGAGGTTCCAGACAGGGATTCCCTATTTCCCCACCTCTTAACCCCCTCCCCAGTGACCCCCCCCCCCCCCCCCTTTATCGAAGCCCACCCCTCCCCACCCCCGATTTAGGGTTGGCGAGCTACGTCCAGAGATTCTGCTGGGCGAAACTGGGCTTGCCGAGAGCACCCCGCACACTTTGGATATTATTCTGCTTTTGCGCCCCCGACCCCCTTTTTTCCCCCTCCCCCGTCTCCTCCTTGCGGCGGGCGAAGCAAGACAG